AGAAAAAACATTGGAGGGAGAGCAAAGACTTTGGAAGGAGAATGTCTCTTAGTTATCTCAGACCACAGACTTTACAATTGCTCTTCAGAATGACATACATAAGCCTGAAGTGAGAAAGCTTATTTAAAGAACCGGTGACCTCCCCACTGCTATTTCCATGCACAGTTTTAAAAATTGTTCACAAATACAGTTCATAGAATCTAAAGCAAAGTAATCAGTATGTGTATGATTATTTTTCTGGAGTAATAAATGACAGAACACGATATGCAACACACTCTATTTGCTACGTGCAGGTATGGCATTATCAGTATTAATCACACAGATGACTGATTGCAGGAGCAAGGACTCCCAGATATGAATTCTCTAAGATTTCAAACAGTATTACACTTTGACCACATTTCCAGAAATATTTTGCTTATCCTTGCCAATAACGACAAAAAGTGATTTACTCAAGAAAAATGTATTATGTAATAAACCCAATGACATTTAGTCTCAGTTTTAGCATCTAATTATTATGCTGTGTCCAACACTGCAACACTAAAAACACTTCCGTCTAAAAAAATTGTCATTAAAAGCAACATGTAAATAACAGCACGGCTGTTTCCTTTCATAAACAGATTTAGAAACTAGGCCTGGTAATATTATGTTTGAAATTGCCACATTCACCAAGCACCTCAAGCTATTAATAACTTGTCTGCCTCTGGCGTGAAAAAACATCTTGAAATAAAGTGATCCTTGTATTCTTAGACTCCAAAATTATAAATGTTAGCAGGGAAAAAAATTGAAACACAACAAAAAAAGTCCACAAAAGGGAATAGATTAATTCTGATGCAGTCCCTGTGAAGTTGTCATGTTAACTTCATATATATATACACGAAGTTAACACATAGACGTATATAGAGGATATATAACACATAGACCCAACGATATATGATTTTGACACAGAACGTGCTTTTTTTTGTAGGTTTTTTTTTGCATAGTTCTCTCCATGGGTAGAATTTATAGGACATGCATACAGAGAAGCCTGGATTCCCTGTCGGGGACTACGTACCTAAAAGCCAGGCAGGAACTCGCCTAGCTCCTTTGCTCGCTCAGCCATCAGGGCCAGATTCAGGCGGCCTCGTTCAAGGTGAGACTAACTCCCAGAGCAGTACATGGACTTTCTCTAACTTGGTGGGATGGTGTGTGGTGGGGCGTTAACCGTTGAGGCACCGATATGCTCAGGGTGCCAAAAAAAGGTGCTTAACTTCTTAAGGAAGCACAAGTGACAGGCAGAGGGACCTCGAGACAACTGCCAGTTTTTAAAGAGCTGATTCTTTCGCGTGTTACAGTGCGAAACAGTGAAAATGGAACATTGTTTAATAAAAAAATGCACCACAGACACCGTATCACTAAGAAAGCCAGTAACTTTACTGATTTGTCTGCAAAATACAAATTATACCTTATTTCCAGCAGGAGAATCTTTTGAAATTTTCCCATTTTTGTTCACTACAGACAGCTGAATTAAGTCCCTTGAGATACACAGATGTGGTTTAACTTAGTTATAACATCTTGTCATCTAGTGGCGACAAAGTCCAGCTTATGCCGCTGTGAGCCTCTACTTTAATATTTGTTGCAAATGCTTGTATGCTCCCATTTACAAGCTATTTTGTTATCACCATTGTTTTATGGAAGCAAATCCCCATGAAAGAGAAGAAAAAAAGAAAAAAAGGATACAACAAACCATCTGAAGCAATCCAAGTGTAATGCCTGCGGTAACCCAGGTCTGATATTAGTTACTCCACAAAAGACTCTGGTACTGCATTTTTTTATTTTTTATGTTTTTTTAATGAGTTACTTAACTGACCTTTTTTGAATCAAACTGAGGTATGGATCAGTCTGAGGTATGAGCAGGGAAGGTAGAAATGCAACACCTGATTATGAAAATAATCAAATGGATACTTTTGATGCAGAAGGTCTGTGGCTCAAAGCTTGGATTGCTCCACATCTTTGGTTAAAATATATTAACAAAAGCCTTTTATTACATCTACAGTCTGAAGCATTCTAACAGACACCAATGTTCCATCAGTCCTTCAAGAGACCTGTAGTGGCAGGAAATTAATGCCATATAACTGACGACATCACAGCAGATGGCACAAACAGGAACAGATGAAGTATGCCATGTTTAGGCAACAGCCTTTATTGAGGTTTCAAGTGGCTTTTAAAAAATTACAAAGCATTTACCTTCAAGGCGAAGGAAGAAGGAAAACAAAACAGCTCTGTTAGGACTATAGATAAAAGAGGGTATATAGGATAACACATACAATACAAAAGGGTTGACATCCTTGAAAACAGTCTATGAGTTCTTTTATTCTTACGCTAGCTTTACCTGAAAAAGATCTGAGGACAACAGATATTTTTATATTATTCATTAAAAACTGCTAGATTCCTCTTCTGGGAAAAATATAAGCCATTTTGTTATAAAACACAACTTTTGAAAAACACTGAAATGACAAAAGCTTTACTGCGAATGGCTCAATGCATACAATATACAGGTTGTGCAGATAGGGTATATCATATAATTGTCACCAGCAATTAAACACTAACTGACAACACCTTTTAATAGAGGTTAGCTTAGCTATAACAATACTTGCAGATGTCTAGAATGCCACTTCAGGTGTTTGAACTTACAATTAAGAATGTTGCCTAAAACATTATATAGCATGGGTTAAGGTAAAGTAAATGTTAATACTCTTTCAGGGCTCTGCCCCAAACTCCTTAAATACAAAGGAATCACACAATAAACCCAAATTAGCTTTGCAAATACAATAAATGGTAAGGTACAGATAAAGGAACAAGAAAGGTAGACAGTAATAGTTTACAGAAAGTGACTTCACAATCAAAGTTGTGCTTCTTATCATTAGATCAGTTTGCAAATATGCATTATCCCCCACAATTTTGCCAGTATAAGTTAGTCGCCCTCTGCAGCAGGAACAAGAGGGATGACTGGCATTTATTTTCACGTGATTCTGTTCTACTTGTGTTTATACAAAAATCACTGTCAGAGTTAATATAAATTGCCCAGGCAATACTTTTCACGCTACTTTCTGCTTAGTTACTTGCAGTAATATATTACACTGCATCTTCGTTAAATACGATATCTTTCCTTTTTCATGCGTTGCTGAGGCAAATCGCAAGGTAAACTATTAATATGGCTATTCTTCATATATCAATAGACCAAATCCCCTTCCCCACTGACAAGTTTCTACTACAATACTGATAAAGTTGTATATTTTCTTGAAATGACAAGGTACATTTGTGATATATTTGCATATTTTTGACACACCGACGTTTAAAATTCTCAGAAGAGAATATGAGTATAGGTTCATCTGAAGGTGAAGAAAGTGGTTTCAAAAACAGTTTTTTTGTGTTTTAAAATTAATTATGGGCCCCATTTTACCTTTTTTTTTTGTTTGTTTTGGGTTTTTTTGGTTTTTTTTGTGTGTTTTGTTTTGTTTTTTGTTTTTTTGTTTTAAAACATGCGTATCTTTTTCTTTACCCTGCAGATTGCTACACAAGATAAGATGGATGCATTAGTAGCACAGTATTCTGCTTAAAGAGTGTCCAGATTATGCACTAGCCCCTGCACGGCTGAGAGTGCCTGTAAGGCAGGCTTCTAGAAAGTCGTGATAAGTGACAAGCGTATGTCCTGATGCACACTGTAGTCTGTTCATCATCCTCTTCTACAGAGAGATACACTCTCCCATTGAGCAGCGCACAGCAACTGCATGTCTACGTGGGAAATAGAGTGTGGATTTCCCTTAACAAAATATTCTGTGTTGATGTTTAGCTGTTGCAGCTATATCCTTCATCATAGTGTCAATGTATGTAGGTGAGGGTTGGAAGGTCTCTTGGAAAAAGGAGAAGTATTACGGTTTTACTATGGCACTATCGTTCTGCTTACACACTTTTTCCCTTCAGCAGAAAGGTTAAACTGAAACAATTGAATATACCACCTTCTTCTAATGAACAAGAGGGACAAAGAGGGACTTAGAGAAATGATACATTCCCTCTGGTCAAGCTATTTTAGTCAAAGGAACAATATGAGGCAGGAGATAATGTGGGTGCCGTATTTGTGGAAGCAAATCTTCCCAGGGTGCAAATACCCAGGGAGCGTTGTTCAACAACGTGCCCACTGCGAGACGATGTGTCCGCAGAGTTCCGTCAGAACCAGGGACCTGATGGCCAATATTGGCTGCGTAAGATCAGCCGACTTTTGAACGGTCCTTTAATTGATGATTTCTCTAAGAGTTTTAAATCTGTGAGAGGAGAGTAATCTTTATAGCAGGCATGTTCGTGCCTACCCCCCCCTTTAACTTTCACTACTGCTTCTGCAAATATTCACCTGCACTCACGTAACTGACAGCCGTTAGAGCTGTACATCCAATTCTGACAGGCAGAATACCAGCTTCATTAATGAGAAAGGGCCAAGTTATGCCACTTTGTCATTTAACCCATGGAAAACTACAAGATACGCAGGACGTTAAGTAATAGAAGGGCCCTTAACTTGTTACAATGCACAAAACAGCATGAAAGAACTAATCAGTATATACAATGGATCGCAGTTCACCCAACTGATTGTAAAATGCTGTATTAAAATGATTTAAGTTGTTACACCATGGGTAAATTCTAACTTTTTACAGATCAGTCTTCCAACAGCTGACTTCGATCTGTAAAATGTATACCCAGTAAAAGAAAACTGAAAGAAAATAGTTAAATGTGCAACTGCACAAATATAATTCCCCACTATTAAGATAACAAAAACTTTTGCTATTACCATAATTATTATATATATTAGAAAGCTATACACAAGCATGTTAATTTCACAGATTTTTTTAAAAGATTCTTAATATTTTATATAATTAGAAATACACATTTCAAAAACAAAACTTCTGCAAAGAGAAAACAGTTATCTTGGTTAGCAAAGCATGGAGTTCTTCATGGCTTATAATTATTATATATATTAGAAAGCTATACACAAGCATGTTAATTTCACAGATTTTTTTAAAAGATTCTTAATATTTTATATAATTAGAAATACACATTTCAAAAACAAAACTTCTGCAAAGAGAAAACAGTTATCTTGGTTAGCAAAGCATGGAGTTCTTCATGGCTTAGGGTAGTGCTTTCTATACAAAAAGTCCTTTTTGTTTGTTTCTTCAGGACTGTTTAAAAGATTAGCGAAGCTATCAAGGAAAAAAGAACACATTTTGGCTTAAGGAAACTGCAAAAGCCACAAATGCTTTGCAAACTCTGTCTTACTTTTTAATATGAAAATAAGCAAAATGTAATGTACATATTTTTATATTTTTTTATTTAATAAGTGATGCAGACCCAGAATTTTTAAAATTAAATATGTTAGCCCTCGAACTCAACGTTTTTACAAGTATGGTCCTCTTTAAATGTTTTGATCCTTTTAAACTGAGTGCCATACTCTAATGATATGCCTGCATGTTTGTGAGCATTTTCGGTGTGTTAGGTGACCCAGTCTCTTTCTAGCATCAATTCATGGCCACCCAACTGCTGGGTCTGTCAAAACATCTGTACATTTTCTATATGTTGCATAACAGCTGCTTTCTCTCTCAGTAAAGATCTGCCATTGCTGGCAAATGTTTTCCTTTTGTCTATTTACATGTAAATAACGTTGAACCTGCAACATGACACTATCTATTGTAACATACATTTTGCAAGGGAGCACAACAGTGAAAAGAAGTTAGCCTTAAAATCTATTTTGTACAAGTGTTCTGTTGTACAACTCAAGTGCTAAGCTTATCTCAGCATTTCTGTTTATCCTTATACTGTATCACTGAGGCAATTTAAAAGTACTTTTACAAAACAGAGTACCTGACTTTTTTTTTTTTTTTTCCACACACGGCACATATAATGCATATCGACCCCCCCTCCCCCATTAAGGTATAGCACACACACACTGCAAGAAAAAAAACTAGTAGGTAATAATGTTATCATGTCGCCCATCCTTCAGAGAGCCGCATGCGCTTGACAGAGGGGCTTTCCCTTTCGTCCGGCGAAGGTCTGGTGAGTCCAATGGGGGAATGGAATTCGTTCCGGTGATCTTCTCGGTCACTTCCATCGTAGGAACTGCTACAGCTGCTCAAACTGTCAACGGGAGACCTCCCCGCCTCATGGCGCGTATGCTGTGGGTATCTCGAGGGTGTGGTGGTACGGTCTCTAGGAGGAGAAACAGGTTCTGACTTGATGTTGAGGCTTTGAGTAGAAGGCAGGGAGAGATTTGTACTCTGAGATAAATGAGTGCTAGTGCAAGCTCTGTAGGAGGAAAGGAAACCCAGTTACAGACGGAGGAGGCATGGAGCCCCCAGATATGCACAAACACTCACACAAAACACCAGTGTAAAGGCTCGCGCAGGACCAGCGCATGCGGAGAGCACGAGGACTGTTTTCTGGGCAGGATTCACAAATTCAGAGAGACGAAAGCGTCACAGCAAACGTGGTTGGCTTGAGCGGGACATGCCCTTGGTTCAAAAGGAGGTCTCGCTTTCATCCTCTCTCTCTCCTTTTTTTGACTCAAGTGTCACAACAAATTTTGGAAGGCGAGCCTTTGCACTGTTGGAACCACCTGCAAGTTTCTTGGTAACTAAGGCTTGTGTGTGTGTATGCACCAGCTGAGACAGGGGAGGCAAAGGACTTTCTCTTGGGATTAATCCAATTAGTTTGAATGCACCCGGCTATTTTTATCGCTGTTCATTTTGACATGCGACTTCAGATGCAAACCAGAAACAAAAATGTGGGCCGGGCACATTTTATACCTTTCAGAATAGAGTTGAAATTACCAGTCCTGGCATTGACATTAATTAAATACCACAGGCAGGCGAGGATTTAGATGGGGTTTTATGGTTTAAATCTATGAATGCATAACTCAGTCCGGAGTGCTTTTGAATAAACTACCAAAGAGAAGCTGAAGAGTCGTGGAAGATGTCAGAGGATTGGACTGTTTGCCTGTAGGAGAGCCCAGCTCAGAGGATGCTCCAAGCATCAAGAGAAACTCCTACGCTAAAACTTTTTCGAAGGCAAGCTACGTAACCGTCTTGCGTTCATTTTCTTTCCATGCATTTTTGTGGGCAGGCAGTGGCAGAGGAAAGCTGGAGCAGGCGGGGAGGTGAGTGAATACTGAGGAATCGCTTTATCTCTATGGGAGAAATGAGATCACTCGCATCTGCAGGATGTTCTGTACAAAAGCACCACCTCCTGGTAAAACCTGGCTTTTCTCTTCATTATTAGAGTTCTCAACAGGCAGTTCACATTAGGTTCCACTTCAGGGACCACCTGCTAGGCTGAAGTTAGTGTGTAACCCCAGAGACACAGTTCCAAGGTTTCTCGTATGAGTATTTATATGGGGGGGCTGAAGGCAGTAGGGGCAACAGGCCACTTGGCCTCCTAAGGTTTTAAACCCAAAGGGATGTGCACGCATTTTTACAGCAAGCGGAAGAAATGCTGGCATTTGGAATTAAATTTTTAAACATGTAGAAGGAACAATTAAGTTTAGATGTGGTCTTTTCATTTATTGAAATATTCCACTTTTCCTGATATCCCATCAACTGGGAGCTGAGCTTTGCTTAAGCAACATCTACTGCAACTTTGATGAAAGACAAAACGTTGTTTTCTTTTCTTCTGACAGATTTAAAATGGAACTATATGGCTTCAGTATGGAATGATATTAGCTGCTTTTGTCAGGAATTATTGCAGTCTTTAATAATGGATGGATCTTGTTAGAAAACAGACAAAACAAGATGTTCTACCTCCAATTGCTGTTATCTACCCTTCATTCCTATACAGATGAATGTGCCAAATTTGCAGCAATCCCTTTCATAAGTCACAGAGTTAGTGAGTAATAGCCCTCGCAGTAGCAAATGTAGGCTTATTGTTTTTAGCAAAGAGGACATTTTCTTTGCTTTTGTAACTATTAAATTGACACATAAAAGAAACTGTAAATATCAGACTTTGTCATTCCAATTTAGTGAAATATTTCACTCTTTTCCTGAAAATTTGTTGCAAAAAATCCAACATGAATATAAAATAGATTTCTTTTTTTTCTTTTTTCTTTTTTCTTTTTTTTTTTTTTTTTTTGTTTTTGTTTTTGCTTTTCATTTCCAGTGACTTTATTTTTCAGTTGCTTAGGAGATGCTAGGACTTCATCTGGGAAAACAGGCTGCCAGTTTAGCATGTACAGATTACATATGATTTTAGATGCCAAGCTTATAGCTAAAACCGTAAGTCCCATATTACAGGATGGTGGAGCCTGGGGATTTTATTTAGAAGTGTTTGATATGAGCAGATGACATGTCACTTTGCAAAGCTGGAGACAGCTAAAAAACCATGCTAGTTAAAACCAACCATATTCAGTCAAATTTGTTCACATGGAACATGCTTGCATTTTATTGTGTGACAGCCCCCAAAGGAACAAATCTAGAGGGGTAAGCTGCCTTTTCTATAAAATAGAACTAGTATTGCTGCACTGCAATGTTGCTTTTTTAATAGTGTTTCAGAAGTGAGTATGAGACTGTATCTCCATAGACTTTCCTTTAGATTCCCAGCGGGTTTATGTAAATACCTGGCATACATATTTGTGGCAGTTTTAAAAATGCTACGGCTTGATCTGCATTTTGAAAACTGTTTTGTAAACTGAAAAAAGGTTAAGAAGTCATTTTGGCAGGTCAGGACTAAATTTGTGACATTTAAAAGAGTATAAATAAATTAAAGCAATTATTTGGTGTCATCATTCAAATTGTTTTCTTTTTAAATATAGTCTTTTTCTACTAAAATATTTCTGAATTTTAGTATCTGTTTTTTGGTGACTGTAATTAACATTATTTCATTAAAATTTTCTGAAACATTTTTATGAGAATCTCATGTAAGATAAAACAGTCAATTACAAGGGAAACCTAGTGTTACACATAGATGTGAATAGTGAAATAGTACATAGGTCTTAGTCTTTAGATCCGTATTCTAAACAGAGGATTGACCTCTATTTAGAATAGAAGCTGTATTATGAAAACCTCTGTCTGCTAATAAAATTATTGCTTTTCATTATGCATGTGTATCAGTGTAGAAAAAGCTGTTTGTATCTACATATATCAACGTATATTTTACATTGTTCCTTCATATAATTATGTAATTTTGGTCCAGGCATGTTTTCATTGTTTGAAACACTACACTTCACTGAAAAACAAACAGGTTTTGAATATGGAAAATCCACAAAGACAATAAAGCAAATGACTTCAAAGGATTGTGTATCATTATAAGCACTCAGTAAGTGCCATGCAGTCTACTCATGTTGACGTAATCACCTTTTTCCATATATTGTATGAAAACATTTCATTTTATAGGGACAATGAAAAAAATAAATGTTTTAATTTTATGCAGGAGTTCCTACTGAGACCAGTAGAGTGAAAATGTGATGTTTATTTAGAATACCACAGCCACATGGGAGAAATGTTCGTTCCTATCTGCCTTCATCACTGAACAACTTCACAGCTCTGCTGTGTGAGAGGTGGGAAGCAAGTCAGGATGCAATGAGCTTGCAAGTGGGTTTAGTCCATGCTGATGCCAGTGAGATCAGTTCTGTGTGTGGTATGGAAGCTCAGCATGCACAGATAGAAGTGCAGGTCTGAGCGGGTGATGAGTGAGGACATGAACATGCACCCGATAGGTTTTTACGGAGGGAGAAAGTCTACTGAAGGAAGAGAGAGCCTCACATACCTTTTCTTTTATGCCCACACTTCTCTAAATTAGTTTACTTCCTCACTTCATATAATTTTCCCCATAAATACATACAAGGAACCATTGAAAATGCACTGCAAAATCTAGTTATGCAACTTTAGTTATGTGCTAGTATGTAACTACGAGAATAGAGGATATTTTTGACTTGCTAGCAATGCAACCTTCCTTCCACCTCTTGGTTTTTCTTTTAGCTAAAAGCAAAGTTGTTTTTTCATATTTTTTGATCAATATAAAAGTAGAATAAGAATTTCTGTGTCAAGGTATTTTGATTAGCTCTCACATGTTAAGGTCTACACTTTAAAAAGAAATTTCTAAACGAAGGATAATATGAAAGTGAATCACTGGAACATCTTATTTACAATGATGGCATAAGAAAAAAGGCTCAACCGGAAATATGTAAGACTTTTATTCAAAACAAGGAAGTTGGCAGAACTGATACAAATGCACAAAACATGATGTCACTGCATCTAAATTTTTCATTAAAAATTGTTCAATGGAGAATATTTGTCCATATCTATGGCTATTACCTAATCAAAATTAATCATTGCTAAGTAATAAGCTTGCTACGTAAGAGTCACAGAACAAGTCATCAGTATGCACGAATTTGGACAATTTTTTGTTCAGGTGGGTAGAAGTTGGGAGAAACTTCTTTTATGTAAACAATTATCTATATTGAAGATTCTTCAGATGAAATATTGTTTCTATGTTTGCACTTATATTTTAGGAAAGCCAAAATTTCACCTGTGGATAATACTTAAGGAATAAAAGATTCTATCTTAGACTGGGAAATATGGATGAAAGAGAACATTTTACAGATAATGGACTTGTGCCTAAGAAATTTAGACCATTTATTTCAAAGTTTGGAACGGACTTCTCTTCTGGTTAGCAGCAATTAACTTCTGGTAGACTCTTTGGTCCATGTTAAGTAATCAGTAACCCTCTCTGCAAGAGACATTGCAGTAATATTCAAAGAAAATCCCAAAGTATTGGGAGGGATGGATTTTCAATATAATTTGTGTGTACTTTTTATAGATGTAGACTTAGTTAAAAGACCATGAAAGTACTTTTTTGCTTTTTAATCTAAAAGGTTGAAAAGTTTTATTTGTTTTAACGTCACAATCATATCAAAACAGACGCTACAGTGTTACCCTATTCATTAGGCTCAGCAAAAGCCCAAAAGCTGTGCAGACAGGGAAGGTGAGTAACTCCCATGTCCTCAAGTATTTGCCCTCAACCCCACTGGCACTAGTATGGTTGCTAATTGCAGAGACACCACGAAGAGTTAAGAGCTAGGTTGTAGAGGCCTTCTCCAATTATCTTAAAGATGGTTCAGTGCTGCTGAAATTGTTGGGGACTCATCTGGAGCAAGCTAGTGCGTCTAACCATATCCTATTCTGTTATTAACCATATTCTGCTGACATGCAGTGAGGAAGCAGAGCTGTTTTTCACCTTTAGGCATCAGTGAAAAACAAAACCTGCTGGAGAACTAGGATGTCTCTTCCAGTAATTCTGTTTTCTTACAGGTCTTTACAATTTACTGTTGTCAGCAAACATCTCACATCTGCCAAATCTTTCCAGTATACAAGCTCACTCAGTACAGGGATTTGGGCTGTCAAACCCTTTCTAGATGTATTTTCTCAAATGCCTGGAGATGACTATGATTTTGTGTATTGTTTTAATCTCCCTGCAAATTCTAGCTCAGCTTGACGTGGACTGAATATGTTCTGTATAATTTCAACTTTTTCAAATAATCCAAAAGTTAGCACAGGTGCTTTTGCATATAGAACTCAGTGACTAAAATAAAGAAATGCTTATGATTTTCTGTACAGATAGAAGACTTCTCCAGAACTGTCAGTGAAGCAGCTTTCATAGCTGAATTCATTTACAAATCACTGAAAGAATAATAATAAAAGTAGCAACTCAGAATGTATTCCACCAGCCACAGCCATTACACTTTGACATTCTGTGATATGAATTAGAAACAGATGACTATGTGTGACATATCTGAAAAGGCATGTAGTTAGTTTAGGATTTAATGTATACTTTTTTTGGTTAACCAAATAGCCTTATTACATTCTCTGGTACACCACTGAAAACAATCAGCTTATTGTAAGGTTATACATTGATATGTAACATGTGACTTTTCAATTTATTTGAGACTTTACATCTTTAGTTGTACAGTTAGTCTGAATGTTGCTCCAGAAACAGTGCAAACTCAAAAGGAAAATGGAAGAAGCATAAAAGAAAGGTATTAAGACTATTCTTTCTAGCACAGAAACTATTTCAGTTATATGTTTTTATGTAGTTAGTATCTATATATGCTTATTTATATAGAAGTGAGGTTCAAAAAATGGTTTCCTCTGAAACATTTGTATGGCTGTCCTTTAGAAACCCAAACCCTCTGTACATGGTAAAGAAATTACATTAAGTTACAAAATGTGGTCAGATAAATTAGAAGGAGAATTTTGAAGTTTAAGCCACATTTACAGTATTAATATTTTCACATTATAGCAACCATCTTGCAAAAAAAAATCAGTGTATATGTGCAACACCTCTTTCTGGGGAAAAAAAGAAGTTGACTTCTCAAATACATGTGAATTAAATTTCTCCTCATAAATACACTCCAGTCGCTTTCAGCTTCTATTTTTGCAATGAAAACTTTTAAAATTCAAACATGTCTAGCCATACCTTAGGCTGCGTGTGGCATGCTGGTGAATGCCTACAGTCTTAATAGAAACTGTGAACACCAGGATTTTTGAAAACCATACTCTTAAAGTTCACTTCAATAAGCCAACTCGTTGCATTTTCAAGAATGCATTAGATGATTTTCCCGTGTGAATTTTTGCACTTTTAAAAATCCTGAAATGATTTAGCAGTGTGCTTCACTGATCTTGAACAAATGTCTTGAAATTAGCCACTAGAGGGCACGAATACCTCTCCTCCTCAACACAGGCAAATCACAAAGAGTTTTGTGGGCTTACAGTTCTTAGGCCTAATTAAGTTATTTTCTTGTGGAAAACATTTCCAAAGAAATGAAACTTGAATGTCATAGCTGAGAAGAAGGCAGCATGTGATTATTACATAAGGTTAAGGCTTAATCTCAGATCAAATCATTATGTCACTCTCACTTGCTTAAAAATGTTTAGAAAATTTTCAAGTTCACTGTAAAAGTTTGTGCTATAGTAACTGGAAATAAAAAGCATAAATGGAAAAATACAGCAATAGCACAGGGTGTAAGTGTTTAGTCTGGTCTTTAGCAGTGAAATAAAATGCTATTTAAAGAAATAAAGAGTAAAACATGAACAGGAGTCTTTACTACACTACTGATAAAATGTTATGGGCACAGAATATTTCACTGTAGTTACCTAGCAGAGTAGGTAAATGGAGCTCTTACACATAGCAAATATGTGCTGGTATGTTATCTCTATATATTTCAGATTTGGGATTGCTGAGAAACTGAATTCACTATAGAACAATAAAATAAAGAAAACACTGCTTACCCCAATTGACTGAGGGCAGATGGTGGCATATTATGTAGGTGTTGTTGTTGCCAGCCAGTCACAGAACCAAGGTGGAGAGCACTGGCTGTATTAAACCCAGAGAGAGATGATATATCTGCACTACTCAGAGAATATTCTAGGTTTGAAAACAGAAAAGACAATAATTAAAAGAGGATTAAGGAGGAAGCAATTAAACAATAACTAGCATCATAATTTTCACATCACTTTACAAGCCTTTTAATTTTAATTACACCAATCACATTAAGTTGCAGCAGAAAAGGTAGACCTTCCTCTTCCCTCAACTTGTTAACTTGGGAGCAAATAATGCACTAATAATTACTCTGTAATTTAGCAGGGCTTTTCTGGATCTGGAAGTTTCAAAGCATTCTTAGCCTGCATATCCACCATAACTACAGACGCATTCTCACAGAGTCACAGGCTTGAAAAATGTAATAATATTTCAGTCGCAGTCTTTCTTGCAGAGCCCAGCAGGAAACCTGTGTCTGAACCAATGCAAGTCTTCTCTACAAGCATTGGACCTGTACGCCAGCATGCTCTATACAGTGTGCAATGGGAACGGGAAAGGATCTCTTGAGGCTTCATTTCTACTCTCTCCCAGGTAACTATGTGGTAGACCACAAAGTTATCGAACTCTGTTTTGAAGACAGTGAAACTACTTGCTCCCACTACCCTTATGACTTTAAGAAGGTGCACTCAACTACATGAAATAACCTGTTGTGTTAAGAGGTTTAAGAAGTGCTTTTAAAGCTACATTTTTATTAAAGCCAGTGAAAGAAAGCTACCAAAAGAAGTTTTCCATCTGAACAAAATAGCTAACTTTTAAATAGATATGTCTCAAGTTGGTGACAGAATGAGTAGAAGAAGTGCAAAAGCATATCAGCCATGAATTTTTCAGTTTCTCTCAACGAGCGTTAGCTAACTCGTTGGTGCTGAGATAGACACTTGTCAGCAGTTGCTCCCTCCCCCACCCTTTACATCTTGCACTGATACTTACCAGTACCATATGTTGTTGAGATGGCTGATGGGTATCCTCCCATCCCTTGCCCTGGCAGAGTAGGAGTTGCTACGGAAACCACTGGAGTAGCCAATGACTGAGCAGACTGGGAGTTATTTATCCTCTGATTCTTTTAAAGTAAGTAAAATAAACATATTATTGACTAGTTTTAAGTTGGTTGAGTGTATTAGCTTTCTGGGTATATTTTGTGCATGAGAAATACAGGCTGATACAATTTTCCAGAAATTAATCATTTAACATGTGGCTTTTATGAACTCTGCCAACCCTATCATTTACAAGCCTTCAAGAGACCAGTTGTCACCATAGTAACCCATTACATCAGTATCTCCTAGGTAACTGAACTAGTACCAAGTAAGATTGCTTTTATTGTGGGTAGAAGAACAGATCGTGTGAAAACTATTGAAATATGTAAACTCTATTTCCATTGTTTTCCTTTTCACTCAAAAGAAAAAAAAAAAGGGGGTGAAAAAAAAAGTGAAAGAAAAAAAACCCAAACCCAGTCCTATTGGATTTTATGCTTTGAAAGTGAGATTTCTGAACACTGAACTCTTACCAGCAGATGGTGCTCTGACTACTTCGATTTCGTGCAACAAAACAAACTTCAAGAGCGTTAGGTAGAACAGCAGTTACGCGCTTATATTTAACTCTGGGGCACTAGGTGTTGCATTGTAAAAATTGCACTAGAGAACTCTAATCCTGTGAGTGGCAGGATAAAATGACCAGAGAGCCACCCAAAAAATGTCATAAGGCTGCATCATCTTCAAGAGCGCAAGTTTACATGCTCTCAAAGCAGCAGCAAGAAAGCTTTATTCTAGCATGTGTAATTTGAATATGTGCAACAACTGCACCTGGGCTTCCATATTGTTATATTTCAAAAATTATGATTACCTTTTTGTTCACAAAATAGTTATGGTGAAGTTTTCCATCTTATTGCAACCAACACTTCACCTACACAGGTATCTATCAATCATACAAAAGAACTGATTTTCTGTTCCTTGTTATTAAGATGAACGTCACTACCACTTACCAAAAGCAGATCAACATCCTCAGACTGAGTGCATAGGAAAGGAGCATTAAAAATTAGTGAATATAAATATTTACCAGGATGCAGATTTCTAGACTAGGGAATAGCTTCATCTGATAGGGGCAGCAAATTAAACACTTTCTGAGCATAGTTTGGAAAAATAACATTTCATAGATCTCCTCTTTGTCCTTCTAATGAGATGTGTGCCTCAGTTGCGAGGATAATCTATGCAGTTTTCAGCACAAGACTTTCTTTAAGAATTCATTATTTCTTCCGCAGCCCCAGCGGCTGCAGACTGTGGTGTTATACCTGATTTCAGGAGACCTGGCCATTCACAGAATCCCTTGGAAAGTATCAGTCTTAAGGATCTTGGAATAAATCATTTGATACAGACAGCTTGTCACTGCCTTGGTCAACTTAGAGCATTGCCCTGTAGGAGACTATTTGTTATTATCCTCTTAGAAGGCAGCATCATATTTATGGGGGGTTTTACTTTGATGTTCAAAGTGAATCTAGTATGCATCAAGCTAAAGTAGTTTAAAAGTTTAAAGTAGTTTAAAGTTGTTATAATAGTGTCTGTTACATAATGGAAAAATGTGTTTATAGTGTCATTTAAACTTACCACCAAGATCCTTTCTAAATTAAGCTCACTTCTAGTGTTAAATTGCTCATGAAAGATTTACTTGCAACCAGCTTTCAGAAGGGAACTACAAGTTACACACACGACACCTCCACAATTCAACCTTCTAGCTGTTATATAGCCTGCCTAAGTTTTGTTAATCCTGGCAGGAGATATAGCAGTGTCATGCTCCTTTTTATCCTGCTGTATCTATTTACTACCTCTTATCTTTATAAAATTTGGAGCTCAGAGTGATAGAGTTCAAATTAATTTATTTGTAGTTACTCTGCCATCTGCTGAGAGTCTGTGTGGCTAAATATTTAAGACAAACATAGTAGGTTAGGAACACTCAGGGTTAAATTCAGCCTTTATAACAAATCCAGGAAAGACTCTTCCAGCTACTAGGAAACGGAGTGCAGAAGTTTAGGCTGTGCATAGTTCCTATTTTGCAACCCAGTAGAAAAAAGGGAGGAGGTAAATATGACTTCATAAAAGCAATCGAACAGGCTCTGCCTATATCCTCAGCTTGATATCAAGCCTGAAGGTTAGACAGAAAGACCAAACAAGCAAGTTATTCTGCTGATTTTAGTTGCTTGTCCAGGCCTTGAAATTCCTAAATGTCTCTTATCTGAAGGAGATTAAAAAATCTTCGAAAATGCATTACCACTGATGGCATTGTATTCTTGCTGCCAGGTGGAATAAGCACGCGGAGATCTGGTTTACGGTTGTTCATTCCCAAATTCATTGGAGGCGGAGATTTTGCTTGCATATTCTTGTTCAAGTTGCCAGGTGAGACCAGCAGACCTGGTGAGTTGCGGGGGTTGCCATATCCATTTCCTGTTTAGGTAAAAAAAAAGGAAAAAAAGGATGATTAACTCCAATGTATTTTTTTAAGACTGAACACTAAAAATGTCAAATAAAACCAAGCCAAGGTAAATACCCGTGACATGTAATGCATCTTTATAGGAAAATACCACACATACTGCATTTGGAACAACTGGACTTGAAATGGTTTCTCTCATGGCAGGTGAATTCTCAGTGATGTGCTGAAATTAACTTGATTATATGACTTTGTTTACAGCACTATGATATATAGCACAGTATACTGTGCACTCAAAGCAGCCAAGACCTAACGTTTGTCTTACAGGAGAATCAGGAAAGTCAGACAGTCGTATGGCTAAAAAAAAAGTCAAAGCTATGCTGTGATTTCTCGACAACTACAGAGGATTCTGCCTTGCCTGACTCAGCCCTTTCCAGGTCATGATTTTGTTTTGTTTTTAAACAAAGGGTGAGTGTAGCAAGGTTATAATTTCCAGAAAAGGCAGGGGGAGGACTAGGAAGATTCTGAAATGCTTTTGGCTCTCTTTCACCACACTTTTTGGACCTGATTCCGTCAACACTAAAGTCAATGGGAGCAAGAGCATAACCTTATTTGGAAAATACCACGGTATCTTTCATCCTCATCTCTCGGCTGCCTTCCGCAATTCCGACAGGCAAATGCTTCATTTGCCTTTTCCAGAAAAGGTTTGCCTTCTCTCACCACAGAGTAGTGACAACTGGGTATCCACAAGGTCACTGACCTGTCATTCCACTAAAAATTAGATCTTCCTACTCTATCTGCCTAATTTCACCTCCTACCCACACCACATCTGGGGAAAGAGATGACTTTTTAGTGTAGCCTTGAAATTCTGTCTGCATAACTCAAGAGAGGTACAGAAACTGCCCAGCCACTGAGAGGGAATTGTATGAAAACTAGTACAGAAAGAGAAAACCTTCATGGATAAATACCAAGAAAACAAATGCTAGGGGAGACTTTCTGTTCTGGGTTCATCTTTTTTACACAGCTCGCAAGCTGCGACACACAACCTAGAAATAGCGTGGGAAGATGAGCTAGTGAGTGTGGCAGAGCCCTGCAACTTAGAAGCTTTGGACTTTCAAACTTCCTTTGTAGTCCCAAAGTCAGTGAAACGCTCAGTATCTCACTTTTTTCCACAAGTGAAATGGGGTTTACAGTCCTAAAGGACATAAATGGATTATGGAACTAAATTTGACAAAGTCTGTGAGGTGGGCATAAAAATAACAGTACATGAGAATGAATCTGTCTTCCAGTTAGGATAATGAAGTGTGTCCAAGCATGGCTAACATTAAATCATGTTTTTAATCCGCAAGCACATCAGCTAATTGTATTTATCAGATCAGCAAATCCACAGAAAAAAAAATCTGTCAAAGGCTATTAAATACAAAAACACCACTTTAGGCTCTGGAAGACACTGAGCTGTGAACACCAGGCTTAGGACACAGGAGAAGTTTCACAAAGTGCTTGACTTCCATATCTGTGAGGTACCTTTAGTCACTGGTCTGGTCTGCCTTGTTTATTCTCATGCTTTTTATTACCATGATCCCCCAAGCCTTTGTAAAAAGGAATTAAGATGAAAACTTAGAATTACCCAGATGACTTCAGAGATTCTATATTAAAATATTTTTCATAGTTCATCTTGTTGTGTATTTCTTCCATAATATCTTATAGTTAATGAGATAGAATGAGTTGATGAAAAAAAGTGTTTTACACTTACCAAGCTAAAATAGCAGAACACTGTCAAGAATTTTCCATTTTGTGTCAGTAGTCTTTTTTTTAAATGAACTATTGCTCTCAACATGGATTTGCTACATATTATGTTCTCAGTAATGCTATGTGTTACTAGAGGCAGAGAAATTAGAAGGGGCATTTTGAATATAAACCAGTATTTTCTTCTAGAAACTACAGTGCCTTTTAAAAGTTGATCTTTGGCAACTTGAGCACTGAAAAGCAGAAATGACGTGGAGAAGTGATCAACAGAAGAAACTGAAGCCAAAGTAGAGTTTCTCTGGTGCAGGTTTCATACAGGAGCTATTTTACAAGCAGGAAGTAAAACTGCCTTGTGAAATGTGTCGTTATGACAAGCGTTTGTTCAGAGAGTGAAAATGAAGCTGTTTGAAGAAACAGTGTATTTTTTTCTTTTTTAGTTCTAGAGCATAAAACCTAAGCTATTTAACAAAACAGCATGCACCGTAACCTGTATGTTTGTTTCTATGGTGGTGACTTCCAGAGAACAGAAGCCCTTGCAAGAAAGAACTCTACAGAAGGTTTACGTAATGTAATTTTCAAATAAAAAATAAGAGAAAGAATGCACCCATATCAAACTCTACTCTTCAGAAATTTTTGTCTGACCTTTATATTATTTACCTACTGATGTAAAATATTTTGAACAGTGATAACTTTTCTTACATTCATATTTTTAGAACACCAAATTATTTTTAAGAACTACTGCAATCTTCTCTTTACCAGTAAATTTCTGCTGCTCGTGGCATATTATGCCAGCTAGCATTTTGGAGCCATATAATAACTGTTCCTCTTTCCAGTCACCAAATTGTTATTCTTTGGTATAATGTGGATTCAGGAATGTAAGACTGTAGACCTTAAACCAATGGTACAGAAACCCATCATTTGAAAATCAATGATGAATGCATGCATGTGGTTTACAGTTAAGAAGAGTCTGCATTTTAACCAGCTCTTTAAACCGTATCCTCTTTACTCAGAAAGCTGTGGCCTGCTCTGAAGCAGCTGTCCCACCTTCAGATAAATCCACCGAAGAGAATGGCCTCATTTACATTCAGAAGCAAAAAAAAGTATAAGACTTCTAATATACAAATTAAACCTTCCTTCATCCTATACTTTAAAATTACACTCTGCCTGGACAATTATCAATTTAGATGTGACTGTATGCAGAACATTGCATTCCACTATCCACTTGAAAGCGCAAAAATTATATGTCGTGTATGAATGGATTTCCTGATTACAGATTATAAGAAAATGAAAAACAGATGGATTTTAGAGCAAGTTGGCTTTACATTTTTATTTGGTTAAAAGCCATATTTTTGCTGGAATAGAACATTTTTAAACATTACAGATATAACTTGTAATGTATGATGAAAATAAAAACAGTAGATGCACAAGTTTTAAAGGGCATATGTCAGAATTTGTAAATTTACAGCATTTTCAATTCAAGGAGTTTTCAGAGAAAATAGTTTTTCCTCGTGTTGTTTGTTATACTGACTTGAAAGAGCAAAAATATTTTACACAGAAAAGAGCTTGTTTCTAGACAGAACTAGTGGAGCAGCACGTGTCATGAAATGCAGTGCCAGACTTTGTATTTGGACTAATGGCAGAATATAAAGACAAATGCTTTCTGAGCATAGAATGCTCTTCTTGGGCATGTTCCCACATGCTGCAGTGAGGTACAAGTGCGATTGACTTTAGAAGGAATTCTGCCCAAGTACAGACTGCATGATTAATGCCTGCAATAACACTTTTTAAAAACGTCCAGAAAAGCTATTTTTGTGCACCTGTAGTTAGAAGAATTAGTAAAAAAAAAAAAAAAAAAATTCATTTACTCATGGAAAACTATGATTTTAACTATGTTACAAATCCATGTATTACTGTCTTAAGAGGTCACTTGCATGCTTTAGGAACTTAAGGGTACGAGTAGAGCACAAGTTTATTCAGGACAGGACACAGAGCAAAGTTCACTTCTCTTCTTTCATCCCCCATTAGTAACACCTGTACTTTACACGTAGTTTTGGTCATTGGTATTACAGTGGTTGCGAAGTGGTTTCAATTCTTGATATTCTGAGTTAGGGCAATAATTCTGTACTGAGCATTTAAGCCATAAAACTTTCCATGTGTTAAGGTAACACCAATGAGGAAAGAACAATTTATTTCCCTGTCTCTCAACATTCTTGAACAGCATTGTCATGATTCAAAGGCTTTAAGTCTTGAAAAACTGGAAAATTTTTGTATTTTGATTTCTTGAAGTTTTGAACCTGTCATGCATCTACTTTTTTCTTTTTAATTTGTGAGTTCAAAGATGTAAAAATATACCGAATGAAAAAACCTCCGTGGTAGTCCTAAAAGAATGAGGAACAAGACACACAATTTATATGTCCCTTCTTTGATCTCTCTTTCATTTACTCTAATGCTTTTCACTGATCATGTGGGTTGAGAATTTACAAGATTTTTAGGAACCTGGGATGCCCACCTCCTATTAATTTTAATGGGAAAAGAGCTTTCAAATTCTCTAAGGAGTTTCCATACATATTAATGGTCAATTCAAGTTTCCAACAAGTGTATGCTCTTACTTGTGGAAATTATCATTATCATATCACAGTTATCAATATGTACATTCCATTTCATGGAGGATTCCTCTTTCTTACTGGGTTGTGCACATCCCATATATATGACTTTATGACTCACCACAAAGCCTCTCAAAACCAGTGTTAAATTTAGAATGAATCTATGCAAACATGAAAGCCAACTATTCTACAATTTACCTCCACTTCAAAATATATGTATATATAAAAGAATCAATGCAGCAATAGAAATTTTCCTAAATTTACACCCAGTTTTGCACTATCCACTCAGTTAATTTTATCACTTTCTGGAGGAATGGTAATTGTTCCTAATAGTAATTAAAGGGCAATGAAAAGGTTCCTTTTCCCTCTCACATCTTATGTGTAAATTTTTTTTTTTAATGCATACACACCATTGGAACAGGCTATGATTTACCACCCAAACAAAAGAGATACCAATAGTATAGCACTAATGCCAGGAAGCTGTACTGGTATTCACCTAAATATAATTTTTAAAAGAGGTAATTGAAGGTTCTTACTCACATGTTGCATGTTAGTCATTTCACAGTACATAACTTCTACTAACTGCAAGTGGTAGAAGAAAACCAATCTGCAGATATGCTCACCCAGAAAAAAAAAAAAAATCTTCACATTAAAGTAGCTGCCCATTC